GTCTGCACATTCTGTGTACTGTTCCATAAAGAAATCCTTTCTCTCGGAGACAAAGCCAGAGAGAACATAATTTTAGTAGGAATAAATAGATTTTTCCGATTGATCTTCTTCAATGTTTTGGACAGTTATGTCCTTTCTGTATAGTCTCTTAGCACTCATTTTATTGTTACTGAAAATAACCAGATTCCTTTTAGAGTTTTTTAATTGAAAGCCTCCTATTATCTTGTACAGGACAAAAATACAAGCAGAAAACAAACAAGAAACTTTTGCCATCAGAAGAAACACTAAGAACCTAAATGGAGCCCTAGCTGGTTTGGCTCAGCAGGTAGAGTTTCAGCCTGTGGACTAAAGGGTTCAGTTACGGTCAAGGGCATATGCCTGGGTTGCAGACTTGATCCACAGTTAGGGGCGAGCAGGAGGCAGCCAATCAATGATTATCTTTCATCCTTGATGTTTCTATCTCTCTTTCCTTCTCCTTTCTTCATTAAAATCAATATTAAAAAAAAAAAAGAGGGAGAACCTTAGTGAACATCACATTTACAATGTTTGGAGTTTTGAAATAATTGACAAAAACCTCAGGAAAACAAATCCCAGGAAGTGGAGCAGGAGAGACTGTCATATAAAACAAGAGCTCATGAAGTTTTTTTTCCAGAGAAGTGTTCAGCTTGAGAAGTCAAGACTGGCTTCTGGTGTCCACAAGGCCTTGGCTAGGGCTCCCATCTAAGTTGTAGAACAAAACAGATCAAGTTGCCCCGACCTTCTAAAAGCAGGCAGATTACCCCCAGGGGGGTGGGGGGGAGGAGGGGGTTGCAGGGGGTGGGGGGTGGGGACACGACAACATATGTTTTTTTGAATACAGAGAAACAATGGCATCACCAAAAAATAAAAGCAGGTAATAGTGTACAGTAATAGTAGCTCCTTGAGGAACAATTGTTTATAAGAGTGAGACTACCAACTAAGGAGAACAACCTCAAGTTTCTTACATGAGTGGATGGAGACCAAGGCGCCCAATAACCTCTGAGGGAATGAACCTGTGATTACTTACCTGAGGCATTACAGGAGGGTTAATGAGATTATGGAAATCAAACATTTCCATTGGCCCATTACATCGTTTCTTTTTCTTGGTTCTTAGATTAACTTTGCCACTCTTAAAATACAGTGATTAAAAAAAAAAATTGTTAATCCTCACCCCAGGAGATTTTCTCCATTGCTTATTTGAAAGAGAGTGGAAGGAGAGGGAAGAGGCAGAGGAACATTGATGTGAGAGAAACACTGCACGAGGGCTGAGATTTGAGCCTGAAACCAAGGAACCTGCCCCTGACTGGAATCAAACCTAGGGCCCCTCAATTTGCAGGTAGAGGCTCTATCCACTGAGCCAAATTGGCTACTGCCACATACAATGATTTTAATCCTACTTTCAATTTTAACCGATTCTTTGGTTTTTTCACTTTCTGCTAAAGCAAAATCTAGGAATATTTTACTGATGTAGTGGAAAATATTAATACTCTTGTGGACTATCTTTACTAATGAAAGGTCAAACTTTTACAATTTAAGTAAGTTCAAAGTGTGAAGTTCAAATAATCTCTATGTTTGGCACATGATTAACATCCTTTAAATTGTAGCTATTATTAAATTAGAAGTGAATTTAAGATGGGGATATTTGGATCCCATCCAAAGGAGTGAAATTAATCAAAATTGATAAAGTGTCATGCACTTGTTGGGAGATCTATGTAAGACCTTTTCTCTTAAACATTTAATTCACATGAATTAGACTTTCCAATTACCTTATTTCATTCTCTTGATTCAAATATGGTTACTTTCAGGAACATTTTTATTAGACTATCTTGTTTTAAATATATTTAAACATTTTATTAAGGAAAAATATCTATGAGAAAGAAAGGATTAGTTAATTAAACTTATTTATATCAGAGCTTGATATAACAAGTCAAACACTAAAGAAATCTCAGAGACTGCTAATCCATATTCCTAAAGTCATAAGAAAAACACGTTCTGAAAAGTGAGCATATACCCAAGAGCTCTAACATATCCATAAACCCATGAGCATCAGCTCATATTAAATTACAAAGACAACTGCACTATTAACCATAAGACAACAAACTGTAAATGGCTGAGAAATATCACAGCAGTCTCAAAAACAAACTAAATTGGACAACTTGACCTAAATTTTGACCCAACCAATTCATCCTTAACTAAAAGGAAATACATTAATACGATCAGACTATCAAATGTAATAAACAGTGAAAGAAAAAGCTATCTGCCTTGAAAATAAATGGTTGACAAATTGTTTCTGTTCTTCTGGCCTCCTGCAGTAACTGAAATAATTTTAAACTACCTTTCCACCAATTAAAACAGCTAGAAGCCAAACATAGCATGCCCCTGACTAACTCAACACAGAACTAAAGACTGTGAAGTGAACTCATATTTTGGTACTAAAGACTGGTTTTGATTTTAACTGTTTTATTCGTATTTTGATTCCAAATCATTTTTAGAACAAAGTCATCCTATTTGTCTTCCTAGGTAGCTCTCAGAGCTCTCCATCGCAAATGCTAGCATTATGGGAAACTGTCTTCAAATTCATTTAAATGGGAGGCCAGTGTCAAATGGAGACAAATATTGTGCATGCATTAGTCAACGTTTAATTTTAAATTGCCAGTGTGCATCATATGTACCAACCAGCCTGTCGGACAGATGGATGGTTGGTCACCTAGCCTTTTATATATATGGTATTCCAGGACTAGACATCAGTAGCACTGAATTTTAAATTCACGCAATTTAGGAAAATATGACAAGGTCTAATAGAGGCATCTTTCACAGGGGTGAAGCATGCTATATAAGGAATCACATCAGAATTACTTTGGAAAAAAGAGTCATCTGAAATAATATAATCAATTATAAGTCATTTTTTCAAAACAAACTGGAAAATGTAGGATGCCAAAAACGTATTTTTCTGGTATAGTGTCCAAGAGAGAAAAATAAATTATTTTAGAGAATATGAGTTTCAAAAGCTTGGGAAAATTAGAGCAGGAGTAATCACTTACATGGTATAGGCAATGATTGGGATGATAATAGCTAGTGTTATTGACCATGGGCCAGGCAAAGTGCAAAGCATCTCATAATCACTATTTCCATCAATCCTTGCAATACACTTATCATTTAAGTGCTGTTGTTATTCTTCATTTTGTGGCTTAGGAATCAGAGATTCAGAGATTCAGAGAATTTGAGTATGTAGCCTAATATGAGATCATTGTGGTGATTATAGATTTCCATTACTTCAACATAAATTGTTATGCTTAAAAAAATCCCACAACATTTCCAGTAAACTACTGAATCAAATCTTACTCTTGGCCCTACCCTCTCCCCTGTCTCCTTAGTTAACATTATTGGTGATGGGCTTTCACACATTCAATTATTTGAAAACTCTGTGAGTAGAGCTTAGCATATTTCTGCAATGGTAGAGATTTATTTGTTCTGGCCCATTGAAAATGGAAATTAAAGGATTAAATTCAAGCATTCAAACATACTTAAGAAAAGAAATTATTTATTAGGGCTATTTGTTTTTAAATGAATGCAACCAGACAAATTAAGCTTCACACAAAGTTGTGATTTTGATGCCTGATGTTATCATTTGTGAACACCTGGTTTACAAGAATAAATGGGTCAAGCCAGTCACTATATGTTATATATATGAATGCCCATTAGCAAAATAAAACACTATTAAATATACCTAATAAAAAAGGGGCCATATCATCTGTCTTGAGGGTATTAAATGTTTTTAATGTAAACTGGGAAAAGACAATTGGAAATGGCACCTTTAAATAAATCCAGGTTTGTTTGTTTGTTTGTTTGTTTTTTAAGTAGAATCAGAAATATGTGATGTCTTCTTAAGTCCACTAGGCACCTTAGGCATCACTCAGACTCTGCCTTGGTTGGATGCGGTTTCTGAAGGCAGACAGCCCAGGTCATGTTTGGTATCAGGGCCAGATTTGAAACCTAAGCCTGGGTTTCCTAGTTCCAGTCTAGTGTCCTTGTGATATCGTGCCTGTAACCATTCTTTCAATGGCATGTGATTTGGCACCGTTTTCATGGGTTCAAGTCACTTGCTTTTATCTTGTGTGCTGCTTACACTTTAGTTTCCTTTTATGTAAAACCAGTACATGATATGGTTTACCTACATAGGTAATTTTAAGGGGAAAAAAAATGACATAATACATGAAAGTACTTGGGATAGTTTAAAATAATAAGAATAGTGAAAATCATTGAAGGTTGGTAAATGCATGCAGAATAACAGTGCTATCTGATCTTATCACAATATTATGAAGGCTAGGCCATTCATTGTGCTGATAAATACTGGTTATGTTTTTGCTAAAGTTAAGGGTGGTTTGTGCTTTGTTTTGTTTCATTTTACATCTGTAATAACCTTACTATTGGTTAATACAGCCAAATTTAATTTCAAATTAGTTTTCCACGTTAGAAGTTATTCAGTCATTATTATTTTTTTTGCAGAATAATTTTTAGACTATTGGTTTCTTCTTAACTCTATATACTTAAGAATTTCTATTGACTTAAATGAGCTTTCATGATTTTTTTTATTTGCATGGTATTTAAAAATATTTTGAAATGTGAAGATTTTTTTCCCTAAGAAATTCTTCTCTCTGTCCTGTCATCATTCTCATTCTTCTTCCTCTTAAATTTTTGTTAAGTATGAACACTTAAATGTTAAATATGAACAAGAAAATTGGACATTAAATGTTAAACATGAACAAGGAAATTGAACAATTGTTAAATGAAGTTATAAAATCATTCTAATTTAGTAAATAATGTTGATACCAATGACTCATTTCATAGTGCTCCTGCCATTAGTATATCATTAGAATGTTAATTTAGAAATTAACATTTATGTTAAAAGAAAAACAAATCAAAATACTTCTAGTGTAGCTGATAGATTCAGTCAAAATCCAGTATCATAAATTTTAACTCACCTTCAGTGTCTGATAGGCCCACTCCAACTCCTGGCTGTTTCATAGGATCTTGCCCATTCTGCCCCATCTTCCCTCTGTTCATAAACAAAATAATAAAATTACACTATTTTCAGATATGCTTGCCCAAATGCAAATGAGGAAGCCACGTTTGCAAAAATAGAATGACATTTTATATTCATATCTGCAATAAATTACATGAATGGAAAATATAAATATAATAAATTCCTCTATATAGTGTTAATTTTAAAATGGGAATTTGTTTATTATTTCTACATAGTCCAACCTAATGCCTCAACATTCAGTGTTTTAATTGTTGACTCATTTATTAAAAATCAGACCAGCATGAAATTTTGAAATTTTGTTTTAGAATATGGGAGTGGTTATTTTTCCATTTTAAACTCAAAACTGAGAATGGTTTTTATATGTTTACACTTTTTATGATGAGTTTATTGATCCTTTGGTGAGAATGAAAACTGTGAATTGAATTATATAAAATCATATTGTAATAACACAGACTTTTACTTCACTTAGTGGCTTCCTTTCAGATCCTTCCTGGGTATTCAGCTGTATGGAGCACATTGGTTTTTTTTGGTTTCTGCTTCCAGCTTTGTTATTTCATGCTGTATGTCATCAAAGGCATATCTACTTACTCTGTAAAGATTGTGTCTTCTTTTGTAATATAAGGATAGTCACATTAGCCACCTTCTGGTTACGAGAAAACTACATGAAAAAATATATAAAGTGCTTAACACTGTGCTTAAAACATAATAGCATTCAATAAATATAAAGTGTTAATAGGTAGGCATGGACATAATGGCCTTAGAATTCAGCCTGAGCCTGCTGTTCATTTTTTGTTTCAGCATCAAACGTTTTGGAAGGCCAAATAGATAATTTATGATCCTGGGGGCACTGTGGCTACAGAATATTGATAATGTAATAGGCAAAAGAGTATAGGCTATTTCTTTAGTTAGAGAAAGCTACATGACATACAAAAGTTTTTGGAATTGCATTGTATGTACATGTTCTAAAAATGGGATAAAAATGCTAAAGGATGCTTGAACAAAATAACATTTTGATACTATACTTTCTAGACAGTAGTTCTAACAGGATTTACTAACAATTCTTACTTTCACAAAAATATTTGGTATGCTAAAAATGTAACCATATTTCTTTCTTAAGAACCTAATTATACCATATTACCCAAAGCAATCTACAGGTTTAATGCGGTCCCTATCAAAATATCAGTGACATATTTCACAGATCAAAAACAAGTAATCTTAAAATTTATATGGAACCAACAAAAGACCCCAAATAGCAAAGCAATACTGAAAAAAGAACAAAGTACCTGATATCAAACTGCTCTACAATGTTATAGAAACAAACTGATGGTTACATGATGGGAAGGGGGTTGATTGGATGGGTATAAAAGATGAAGGGATTAAGAAGTACAAATTGCCAGTTATAAAAACAAACACAGGGATATAAAGTACAGCATAGGGGATATAGTCAATAATATTGCAATAACTACATATAGTGTCAGACGGCAGTAATAAACATCAGAGTGATCATTTCATAAGATGTATAAATGTCTAATCACTATGTTGTACTAGTTGGAACTAATAAAATATTAATGTCAAATATAATTAAAAATAAAATTTAAAAATACATTTTAAAATAAATATTAAAAATAAAATTTAAAAATGAAAATAAATTTTAAAAATAAATTTTAAACATTTCCTTGTGTGAAGATTAATAAAATGAATAAATAAATAAATAAATAAATAGTAATGGGCAGAGGACCTGAATAGACATTTCTCCAAAGAGGACATAGAAATTGCCAACAGATACATGAAAACATGCTCGACATAACTAATCACCAGGGAAATGCAAATTAAAACTATAATGTCACCTCACACCTGTCAGAATGGCTGTCATCAGTAAATCAACAAACAAGTGGTGGTGAGGATGTGGAGAAAAGGAAACACTTATGTGCACTGTTGCTGGGATTATAAATTAATGCAGCCACTATAAAAAAATAGTATGAGGTTCCTCAAAAAATTAAAAATAGAGCTGCTATTCCATTTAGCAATTTCACTCCTGAATATTTATCTGAATGAAACAAAACCACTAATTTGAAAGATATATACAGTTCTATTTTCATTGTGGCATTATTGTCATAGCTAAGATATGGCTGCAAATTATATGTCCATGGACAGGTGAATAGATGAAGAAGATGTAGTGTATATAAAATATTGCCATTAGCAACAATATGGATGAAACTATGGATTATTATGCTAAGTGCAGTAAGTCAGACAGAAAAAGACAAATAATATTTGATTTCACTTAATGTAGAATCTAAAAAAAAACAAAATAAATGAAAAAACAGAAACAGATTCATAGACATAGAGAACAAGCTAAGGGTTGCCAACGTGGAGATGGTGGGAAGATGGAAATTAAAAATAAAAAAAAGATAGTGAAGCAACTATGCCAGAAAGAAATTATAAAAAGGAAGGAAGGAATTAATGAAGGAAGGAAGGAAGGAAGGAAGGAAGGAAGGAAGGAAGGAAGGAAGGAAGGAAGGAAGGGAAAGGAAAGGAAAGGAAGGAAGGAAGGAAGGAAGGAAGGAAGGAAGGAAGGAAGGAAGGAAAGGAAAGGAAAGGAAAGGAAAGGAAAGGAAAGGAAGGAAGGAAGGAAGGAAGGAAGGAAGGAAGGAAGGAAGGAAGGAAGGAAGGAAGGAAGAAAAGGAAGGAAGGAAGGAAGGAAGGAAGGAAGGAAGGAAGGAAGGAAGGAAGGAAGGAAGGGCTGGAGGGGAGATTTAGAGAGAGGAAGGGAAGAAGAAAACACGAACAGACTTTTCTGTAATGTGTACAATCATGTGATTCACATTGCTAAATTTTCTTCCTGGGAAGGTACATTCCTCAGGATTAAAAAAAAAAAGTCTTATTTAAGCAATCCATAAATCCTCAATTTGTATAATTGTTTCTGTGAGATTCAAGATAGGTAGTTGATAATTTAAAAAACATTAATTTTCTTCTGTTACAAAAAGGGGTAAAGCTCAACAATACAGCAGCCATCCCACCTGGAACATACACCATCCTAGTAGAATGAGCCAAACTCAGTTGAAAGTGAGGATCATTTTGGTAGTGGTAATCTAGCAGATGAGAGTACTTAAAATATACTATCTTATACTATGTCAAGTTTAACTAAATAATTATAATTTTTAGTAATTGTAATAAAATAATTTTTAAATTTTTTATTTGATCTTGAGTCCTATAATTCATTTTAGTGGTGATAGTCAGCTGCAGTCATTGCTTCTAATGAAAGCTTCTTTTAACATTAGATATGTAGCTAAAATCTGTACTTGGTGCATTTCTATAATTACCTAGAAAAATTTTAATATATATTTTTATTAATTTCAGAGAGGAGGGGGGAGGGGGGAGAGAGAGAGCGAGAGCGAGAGCGAGAGCGCGCGCGCGCGAGAGAGAGAGAGAGAGAGAGAGAGAGAGAGAGAGAGAGAGAGAGAGAAATCAATGATGAGAGAGAATTATTGATTGGCTGTCTACACTGGAGATCCAGCCTGCAACCTGGGCATGTGCCCTGACCGGGAATTGAACCATAACCTCCTGGTTCATAGGTCGATGTTCAACCACTGAGCCATGCCAGCTGGCTATCTAGAAAATTTTTACAGCATTATGAAATTAAATGAAGTACAAAGGAAACGTACCTGTGAGTCATGTGACGGGTGCAATTTTTCTGAATTTCCAATAAAAAACATTCTGACTACACAGTTTAAATATATTTTATTGATTTTTTTTTTTTTTTTTTTTTTTTTACAGAGAGGAAGGGAGAGAGATAGAAAGCCAGAAATGTTGATGAGAGAGAAACATCGACCAGCTGCCTCCTACACACCCCTACCGGAAATGTGCCCACAACCAATGTACATGCCCTTGACCGGAATCGAGCCTGAGACCTTTCAGTCCACAGACCGATGCTCTACCACTGAGTCAAACCGGTTTCGGCCTGTCTACACAGTTTAGAATTATATTTGTAAATCACTTACCAAATAGTTACTGAGCACTTATGCTAGTGCGCATATGTTAGACACAAAGGGGCATATATAAGAACCAGTAAATACTGCTTGTACATATGTCTATTCTATAATGCTTTAGAAAAGAGAACTGTTTTGTGTGCTCATATGGCAAAACAATAGCTTCCTAAGCAATTTTGAAATGCCTCGATTTACAAGAGAAATATGAAAATGGGGAAAAATAGAGTTTACACTCTGAAATTTATAACTTGATCATTAGTGATATAATAGTATTTGAAAGGTGAAGATGAATTGTAAGGTTATTAAGAAATGTGTGGTGCAAACCTGTATAATTTCATATGAAATTTGCAATTTATAGATAGGGATTTAATGAATTTGCTAAAATTCTCTTCCATCAAACTGGATCACCAGAGGCTGAGAACAAATGAGATCAGATTTCTTTTAGAGATAATTTTCAATGAAAAATAATTAAATACAAATAACTGTATGGATCCATAGCTAAATTCTTTATAAAATAAAGATGGCCAGGTGATCCAACAATTACTTATTTTAAGCAGGAAAAAATGTAACTTAAAAATCACATTATAAACACATTTTTCACTGTACAAATACATTTCCTCCAAGATTTTGCTCTTGTAAATTGAGCCATTAAATAATAGTGCTATTCTTAAGATCAAAAGGAAAGAATAAAAAATCATGACATTAAAACAAAGAGAAGCCAAAACTGGTTTTGCTCAGTGGATTAGAGCGTGGGTCTGTGGACTGAGGGGTTCTGGGTTCGATTCTGGTCAAGGGCATGTACCTTGGTTGTGGGCACATCCTGGTGGGGGGTGTGTGCAAGAGGCAGCTGGTCAATGTTTCTCTCTCATTGATGTTTCTAACGCTCTATCCTTCTCCCTTCCTCTCTGTGGAAAATCAACAAAATATATTAAAAACAAAACAAATCAAATCAAATCAAAACAAACAAACAAACAAACAAAGAGAAAAGGAAGTTCCACCCCCAAGAAAGCCTCACTCAACATTGGAGAAAATGAAAAAGACCCTTCCCCAGGGTTTCAGGAAGGGGTCTGTAAGCTTTTTCTGTAAAGGACAGACAGCAACTCTTCAAGATTGCCTCACAGTGAGAAGCAGCATAGGCAATGCTTAAATGCACGGGCGTGGCTGTGTTCCAATAGAAACTTGTGAGCCTGAAATTTCGATTCCATAGGATTTTCCTGTGTCACGAAATGCTATTCTCTCCTGTTTTTGTCTTGTTTTGTTCTTTTTTCAAACATTGAAAACTTCGAAAGCCAACAACACCAGCTGGTGGGCTGGATTCCCCCTGGCCCAGATTCTCGAGCTGTGTGGACCAGGGGTGTTTCTGAAAGCCCAGAACATTAGCAGTGGGGAGAAGGAAAGGTCATTGTTTCCGTTTTTATATGGGAACAGATATGACCTACATATTTATCTTGGATCCTGCTGGATTTTGCCACCCATATGACTAAATCCATTCTAAAGACAATCTTACATTTGATTTGCAATATGATTTTCTTGAGGTTTGACATCTTGTAAATGAACTTTATTCTAAGAGTATCTATTTAGGGATCTATGGAATGCTTGCTATTAGTTCTAGAAAATTTGGACCAACTTCAAAAATCTTTAATTTTAATTGTAGTGAGATTTATAGCTGGGAAAAAAATCTGTTCGAGCAGCCCAATATGTTATCTATTTCAAATGTGCCATGAGTTCTTTAAATCTGTTTTATCTCTCCTGATTCAAAGTAAATTAATCTGTTTATCTCCAATCCCAATGATGTTTGTGTTTGTTCAGTATGTGATTAAAGTATGATTCAGGCATGGCTAATCAGTTTTTATCAGGTTTTTTTTTTTAAATTAATACAAATTGCACTAAATAAGTAAAGCTGGTTGTGATCATCATTCATCCTTCAAATTAATTAAATGAATCCAGTCTTTCTTAAACAGTGTTGTTGTTTTTAAGTGTAAACATGAGCAGTTGAAGCATTTCAGGGACAATGACTCAGAATTGGATAATTATCTAGTATTTCCTGTTAAATGTTAAGAAAAGCTTACTCATGATGCTGTTAGCTTTGTAATGAGAAAAAAAGAACCACTTACATCCTTGGAATAGGAAATAGATTAGTCTCCCCTGCAGTGCTGCTGCTTCCTTCACTGTCCACGCTATACCCACTGCCAAAGCTGCTGCCTGAGGAGCCGGTGGACACGGAGCTGTCTGCAGGCCGGTGATTGGTAGGCTTTGCTGCATGATGTGGGAAGAGTCAACACCACAGTCAGTCAGTGATACTACTCGCAGGGATCTCCAAGTGCATGATTATGCATTGTCTTCATTTCTATCTATAAAGAAACAGCTTTGGCAAGAACTCCGCATTTCTTAACCGGCCTTTCATTTTGTTTTCCTTAACAGATAGTGCACACAGGCCTTGATTGTTATCATTAGACATAAAGGAAAAAGCAATCACTTTTAAGGCTAAACCATCATATTTTAGACTGAGTTAAATAGTAATGTAAGTATTCTATTATTGTGACTTGTGATTTATGTGTACAGTATTGCAATAATGGTCTAGCAAACAAATAAGAATGCTGGCTATTTCATGGAGAAAGCAGTTTAGGAAGATTGGGGTAAATACAAATAGCAGGATAAGGAAAAATTGCTTATTTTTCCATATTAATAACGAATAATGTTTTCCTCTTGAGAAGTGAAGAAGTGATTGAAATTCCGTGCTTGTTTGGATGTAGCTTTACCAACTATCTCCAGCAGGTTATTCAATTTTAAGATATTTGTTTCTTTTTAGGCATCTCTCAGTTTATGACTGGGATTTATTTGAAAATTGTAATAAGTTTAATTTTTTTGTGGGATATAAGAATCTATATTCCCATAGAAACATAATAATTTTGTTCTATAAATTATGCAGTAGGTGTATGATACTAGTATTGTTAGTGAAGTTCTACATTACAGGAGATTTGGGGAAAACTTTTGATATAAAAAGAAGTCAAGCATTTCTCTTATTTTTGTAGAGAGAAGGTTCTCTTGGCAAATTTTTGAAATTGTTATCTACCTTCTTTTATCTGGTCAGCTTAAGAGTATAAGCTTTGATCATATTGATGTGATTTTGAAGCCCAATCATTCTGTAGTGAACCTAAGAATTCTCAGTTTCCTCATTGGGAAATAATGGGGTCAGCAAGGCCTATCTCATAAGCTTGTGACTGAGGAGAGAAAGCAGGAGCCCAGTAACCAACTCTTCTTCATCTTGCCATTCTCCCATGCTCTCCTCAGTGGCTGTTCCCCAGTGTCTTTGAGTGTACCTCGTGCTGTCAGTATGTTTGCCTGCTTCTCCTGTAATTGTAGACACATTCTATGCTACTAACCTAAGAGGCCCTCTTCCGTAGACACGCCTCTGTTCAATCGGGAGTTTCGTAAGCAAATAAGAGTCCCACTACTGGATGGATCGTTGGTTATTCTTTAGTGATCCTAAGATATCTGCATTTTTCTTAAGAAACGATATACAAGCATGACAACTCTTGATGTGTTGGAATTTTAATATAATCAATATAACCATGGGAAGTGAAAAATATAGACATGGTGAGGGAAACCATGAGAGGCAGGAAACCATCATCAGGGCAGTCAGGATCAACCTTGAAAAAAGTTCAGTGTTTCCCTCATTTCAGGACAACAGATTCTCTAAAGCTACCAGACAGTTTTATATCTATTCCAGTGATAGTAGTATCAGTTTCACAGGATAGGGGGGGAAATGTGTATTAATCAATTACATATCAGGTATACATTAGAAATAGCTATTTAGAAAAAGGCTTGAATCCTGTTAAATAGCTACTGACCAATGAATTACTGGTAACCCGTAGGACTAGATTTGCTGAAACAGAATGATAGTTATAATACAATAGTTGCTTAATATTTTCTTCAATTTATGCAGAAGAAACACAGATAGAGTATTTGGTGTTAAAGAAAGTAATTTAAAAAATAACTTAAAAATAAAAAGATAACATCACTGTGATATAAAATTACAAGCATTTATAAAATAAATTAAATTGAATAATTAGCCACATAATGAACCAGATTAGTCAATTGATTGTAAAAAAAGGAACACTGTAATACTTTTTGGTTGTCATTATATAATCCAACCAACAAGACTGTTTATAGTTTTTAGTATGATATTGAATAAAAATTTTAAATTTTATCGACTAGAAAAGTCACAATATACTATTTTCAAAGACAAATCTTAACAAACTTTAATTTTAAATCAACTTATTCCCACTAAGTTAAAACAATTTCCATCCTAGAGCAATCTTACAATGTATCAAAATAACTACATTATAGAAAGGATGTCCTATTATTTACATTTACAAATATTCAATCCTTTCTTTTGTGAACTTTGATTTTCCTGATACAATTTTTAGTTGTATTCCCTTCTGGGAAATTTCAGATGTGTACAGAATCCAAAATGATATAAGAAGAAAGGAACAAGGCTAGAAGTAAATTTAACAAAAGACAGTTTTTTTTGTCTTGGTTAGTGGAATAGAAATCTCATTCAGAAAGCCTGTGCAAGTGCTGTCCATTTATATGCAAACAAATAATCTTTTATAGATACAAAAAGAAAAAGAAATGTATGAAACATATACATATATTGGAGTAAGTCTTGTCTCCCTAATATTTTTGCAAACAAAATTTAGGTAAGGTTGTGTCTAAAGAAATGTTGAGTAGTTATGTTAGGTAATTAATTTAAATAAATCTAGGTATTTGGCATTACCTTAACAAAACATCTACTGCTTTCTTTGATTTTATTTTACTCTTAACCTGGTTATGTAAATGTGGGATAGAATTAGATAGCCTGACATTTGTTTTGCTTCTGAAAATGAATTCAATTAAGATGCAGAATGGACCTTTGCTTTCTACTGGGCTATATCTCCTCTTAACATAAGTCATTTTAGCCAAATTTGTAGTTTGCCTCCCAGAGTCCTTTATCATCTGTTTCTTTTCAAATGTACCTCTCTTAATTCTCCTTCGAATGCTTTACATGGAAGTCCACTCAGAGCATTCACTCTGACTCCCTTTGGTTTGGCTTATTTCTCCTGAACTATGGCTGGAGCTTTTTTTTTTTTTTTTTTCTTTCCAATTTTGTTATACTTTTTCTGCCCCAAACACCTTTTCATACCTAAATTACATTTCTCAGTCAAGGCCCAGCTCAGATCAGTAAAGTCCCTGCCTCATGCATTTTCCTTGTCTTGCCCATCAGAAGTCAACTCTCAAAGCACAAGATCAAATATCTTTTCTTGACAGTCACCACTTTTTGTCTTTGATTGTAGTTGTTATATTAATGTCATTGTTCAAAGCAAAGCCTGTGTTTTCTCCATTGTAGCCTTCTTACAAGCTTATCCTGAAACTATGCTGAAGAAATATTTACTAAAAACAATACATTAATAATTGTTTCCCTTAATCAAATAACTAACAGCTGAATGATTTAGTAATAGCTCACTTTGTATCCAACTGTGTATTTTATATAAATCATACATTTCTCAGCAACAGTAACTTTAATGTCATACTGTGTGGAAAAATGTGATCATTCAACAAGATGTTTTGTTTTCCCAATCCCCACAAAACTTGTTTGGTTGAAAGAAATAATAATACACTAAGCACAAGAGAGCATAGCTTTGTGAACTTCAAAAAAAAGTTTATAACTGGCCATGGATATCTATCTATATAGAAGGCTAAGTGAACATCTGACCGGCCAACCAGCCAGTAGGTATGACGCGCACTGACCACCAGAGGGCAGATGCTCAGTGCAGGAGCTGCCCAGCGACAACAACTCTAGCACTCTGGACCCCTAGGGGGATGTCAGAGAGCCAGTTTTGGCCCAATCCCAGCAGGCCACGTCAAGGGACCCCACCTGCTGGAGGGACCCAGTTAATCCAGGTGCAGCCAGCTGGGGAGGGACCGGACCGATGGAGGTTAGCTCCAGGATGTGTCCAGTCTGTCTCACCCAGTCCCGCCCTGCTGACCACCTTCTAATTAATTTCCTTTTAATGTGCACGAATCCATGCAGTGGGCCACTAGTTACATATATAAAGATTTAAATTGGAATGAAGAAAATAATATGTATAGTAACAATCCATCAGAACCATCAGAGGGTGCTATTATAGACTAGTACTTGTCCTAATCCCACTTCTTGTCTTTGTATTTCTATTCCTGAATAACATTTCAAAACATTAAAACTAAATATGATTTCCCATAACTTTATGATTTCAAAATTAACAATGTAAAAACATTCTACCTCTGCTCTTAATCATAGTTTCAGAAATCATGGACCTATTAAGTATGGGCATATTATGTGCCTAAGTATTACATATGAGAATGTTTGTTTTACAGAATTGAAGTTTATTTAATAAAAAAAATTGGAGCCTACATTTTGTGTGTGTACTTTCTTTGTGAATTCCTGTTTGTACTACCAAGTATTGACTAGAAGAAAGAATGTATTAAATAAGCATAGGGGAAAAATAAGCATACTCTTGCAGAAAGGGTCCCTGCTCCCAGTGGTCTGCAAATTCATTAGTCAACAAAGCCAAATATCAACAGTACAACAATTGAAATTTCTTTTGAGAGCCTAGAGGAATAAATCCTCAGGTCTTGAATCATTTTTGAGATTCAGTGATTGTGGGGGCATTTCAGGTAAATAGATTTTATCTTTGTGTGAGTCAATTTAACCTGCCTTAAATTATTTTTGATCTCTTCATTTTCTTTGGATGAGAGACGGTTAGACATCATTGTTTTATTACTCTACTGTGGCTAATCTTAATTAAACCTGATCATGTCTCTTTGAACATCTGTCTTCCATTAGTTTGCCCTGTTTTGTTGGTACAGCAGTACTTAAAAATGCAGACCTATAGCTGTACCTACCACATGATGGCACTGCTGTGCTCTAAATCCACAGATCAGAATTGAAGACAACTTTACAATTGTGGAACTCTGAAGATCAAAGAAAGCTGCTAAAGACTCTAGAGATAATCTGACCCATGATTTCTCTTATAGGAAAACTAAGCTCAGGAAAGATTAAGTGACTTGTTTTAGTTCATATGCTAATTAATGAGAAAGAATCAAAACTAAATACAACCACTAACCCACTTTTCTATCACATCCAATTATGTCACATTAAGATTGTGAGGTTTTTGCCCAGCCAGCAGGATTCAGTGGTTGAGCATTGACCTACGAATCAGGAAGTCATGTTTCAT